GCTTTAAGCATAACCAATTAGTGCATTTTACTTACAGTGCAACTAATTTTGAAACATGGATTGCTACAGTCCTGATGTTTGACTTCATTTCTGAAGATGACAATGTTAAGTTTGACTGGTCATTTAGAAATTTTCCATTTCGGTGTGTTTTTTGAGACACACTGAAAGACCATCCAGATAGTCTTTTATCAATAATCATATTGACAACCGCATGAATTATGATGGGTTCATATACACTGCTTCTTGAGCAAAATAAAAGTCGGGTGGAAAAAAAAAAAAAAAATTACACCCGCCCCCCCAACTTTGTTCAAGGTGCTCTTCTCTATGCCCATAAATTGGTGGTTCATTCTGATACACCCTTGTGCACTAGCTCAAACTCTCCAAGTTTAACTTGTGCCTGCAACACCTGATTTAGATCAACTGCCTTCTCTTGTAACATATCTCAGGTGCACAGAGTGGTTTTGTAATTATACAACAGGCTTTCAGGAAAGCAGAGCTACTCCAATTATACAGTTTCTTACATTTTTAAAACAGATTATCTCCCTTGGCAAGATTGTTTTAAAATGTAACGTAAACTCCTAAGTATTAAAATATCCATAAGTAATCCTATATAATAGTAGGCTATGTTGTCAAAGCTTCTGATTATTGGCAACTTCTACTGAAATGGGAACCAATCCATTTTAGTCAAAAAATCTGAACATTTTAGCCATAAGCTTCTCTAATCAGCGTGCAGGATTTGAGTCAGAGCAAAAAAAAAAAGCCAAAACCACAAAACACTTTCCTACAGCACAGGCAAAGAGAAACTTCAGATACATAGTACAATGTCTGTTGCCTTTTCCCAAGGTTGAAAATGCTTAAGTCCCACCCCATTTCAGCAAAATCGTTGCTCCTTATACCCAAAGGTATAAGCACCAACTCTATTCTGAACAATCCCTCTGACAGAGGAGGAGCAGATTATACTTTTGTAGTAGTAAGACCTCCGTCTCTGGTCTGAAACACAGCACCAGCAGGTTAAAACAAAGGGAAACTCTTTAAAGACACATAAAGCTTTCTCGAGTAATAAAAGTCACACTAAAGAAATGAAAATAAAATGTTTTCTGGAACTGTGGATTTCAATGTCACATGAATGGAAACCCACTTTATATCTCTCTAAATGCAGGATAAGTACAGCAAGGTAATAATTTTTTCCACCTTGTCTTAAAACTTTCAGAGATACAGAATACTAATGAGAAAAGCATGTTTCATCCTCCTCTTTCACCTTTTGTCCTAGTGGCAGTAAACTTTTATGTATTATGGCTAGGAAAGGTCAAGGTGAGGGATAGGGACCAGAAAGAAGAAATATGAAGAGAAATAAGTAAGACTACCACATAGGGGGTCTCCTCAGATTGAAACAGTACTTTTAAAATAAAAAATACTATATTTATCTACTCTATATGTGCACATAGTTTCTATGTCAAACTGTCCTGATTTCAATGAGACATCATTTTTTATTTCTAAATTTCCAGTTTAAAATCAGATTGTGTAAACAGGAACAAAACAGTATTTTCACTGGTAATGATTTGGAGTGCTTTGTCACAATGTAATCTACCTGCAACCCCAACCTGTAATTGATTTAAGATAAGCAAATACATTGCTGACATTTTCAGCAAGAAATCTATCCAATACTATTCATACAGACATTACTCAATCAAGTGTGCTCTCGTATTCAGCTAATTTCTCTCTGGGTTTCTGCTCCATGGACTGATTGAGAAATTAGTCTCAGCAAATGAAATCATTATTACTCGCTGTACCTGCACCCATCTAGGAACATCTGAGACAAGACAGACTGTTCAAATCTGTCTTCCCCAACACTTAATTCCTAAAAATAATTGAATGTTCTACTACACTACAGAAATGCATTCTATTCTCTTCCTGCCATTTAAGAATAAGCCCTAAGATTTCACTCATCACAAAAATGAATAATTTTATATTTTCCCCAAAAAGAAAAAAAAATACAAGTTATGCATGGTGCACAAGTGATCAGTGCTTTGCCACTGCCGAGTCACTTCCACCTCACACATGCTGACAGTTTTGTAAGAAAGTGCAAAAAAGCTGTTGTGTTAATCATCACGACCACTTAACTACAGCACTTCATCATTTGTAGAATTTTGTCTTTTGAAGACTGATTTGGTAACTTGCTTGCATATGTAAATACTCACCTGAATATGATCTCAAATCCTTTAAGAATACATTTTATTTCCATCTGAAGTACTATACTTTTTTATTCTCTACTTGAATCCAAGTTTTTATTTTTACTGCTATGATCACTATCTCAAATTATAATCAAGCCTCAAACCATTAGATCAAAATAAGTTTGCTTGAGGATATTAATAGAGACATTTCTAAGTTACTTTACAAGCAAATTTGATGTATTTATTTGTAGCTCATATCATATGGAAAAATAATTTGAAAAAAAGCTATTTGTTTCCATTGTTACAATAGTCAACTGTCAGTCCAATCCTGCAGGTCACTAATTTTAAGCAAACCTTACATCAGAATTTATAGGAGGTTAACAGATCAAAACACTAAAGCCACAACACAACAAATGGAGCAATAATAAGGGTTTTCCCCTCTCTCATGGCTTAACAGCTGTCTAAAATAAAAGTCCTATATGGTGTATATCTGGCATGACTTTCACGGTTATCCTCAAAACCTGTGTATGGAAAATTTTCCTTTCTTGAATCTCCACTTCTCTATCTCAAAGGACAAAGTAGGCATGCTTTAATAACATTATCTCAATCCACTTGAAAAGCCCTCTTAATTCTTACTAAAACAATCTAATCTGTTTGAGGCATGATTTTGGTCTCATTTAGAATACTAAAACTTATCTAATTAAGTGTAATATTAGGATGTTAACTAACATACACAAGCGAGCTTTTAAGAGTCCACTGCACACACATGCTAATTCATACTAACTGAAGCCTAGATCCCAGTTTGCCCAACAGGCAGTGCCCAGTGCCATCCTCCCATACATCCTCATTTCCAAGGGTCACACATGGAACACAGTTCACTGGTAGTGGGTTTAGCTGGGGTGTGGGGTGTCTGCTATTTATCCTCATCAAGAACCAAGTGGAAGGTGACAACCAGTGTTTAACGTTAAGACCAGCTTCAGATTTCAGTATCAAGAAGATGATTTTCCCTTAGAACCTATCTAGGTAGTCAAAGCATTTGCTATAGTGCAAAACAAAACACACCCGCAATTTTAGTATTGGACTTTATCTAGTAAGACTTAAGAGTTGCACTCTCCTTGACTGCTACACTGCTTAGCCATACTGCAATTTTCCAGTTTCACCTTCAACTTTCCTCAGAGATATTTTCCTTGACTGAAACATAAATGACTGAAAAGGCAGGGCTCACCTTCAGTATTAAGTTCATCGATACAGTGAAAAGAGTGGATTTACTGTCTACTGAAATCAGAGGGGTTTTGGGTTTCCAAAATATAGCCCTAAAGGTCAAAGATTCCTCCAATAAATGGACCATTTGATGATTCCCATGTTTGTTCTCGATCAGCACGACTAACCCAGGATAGTTTAGGCATAAGCACCTAATCTAATACAAGCATTACATTCAGTGAATGGAACCGTGATGGTTACCAACCCCTTCATGAACAAAATTTCTAAAAGGAAAGAATAATAAAAATCTCTGTTTATCAGCAGCCAAATACAATCTTACATATATGCCCCAACACTTGCTCATAATATACCGAGATGTGCTTTAAATACAGACAAATTACTCATGTAACATAAGCCACCTTCATCTTGTCAAATTCCACTCAGAAGGCTAAATATATACTGCTTGTCTTTGTATACCAAAGTATCCAGCCAGCTGGTGCAGAGAGGAAAGCAAACCAGCTTACATTTTTCACCAGGGATGTAAGGAAGAAAAAAAAAAAAAAAAAAAAAGGAGAGAACAAGGCCCATGTATCAGCTATTTTTGTTTTGCAAACTAGTCAGGACTTGCACGTTTTAATTTCACTTGATGATTGATAACCAATACACACAAACACACAGTGTAAGATTTTTGAGTACTACAGACCTGTGTAAAATAGACCAAATACCAGATCACAGATGAAAATCAAGGGGCAAAAAGATGTAACGTTTACTCAGTGCTCTGGTTTTCAACTTTTAGTGAGTTCTTAATTTATTAGTTATAACTTGTTTTTGTTGGAGAGGGTTCAGAAAAGGCTGTGAGATTTTTCTAAGCGTCAGCTTAAAAATACTTACAACTATTTCTTAAATGCCAGCTTAAGAAATGTATAAACAAAATTCAACATTAAGACCTCTAAACTTGGAGAGACATGCTCAGAACAGGAAATGATAGTTTGTTAATAAAGAAAGGTAAATCATTCTCTAGGCTTCCGGTGGGAAACTTGGCAGCGAAAGGATGTTGACCTCAGTGGAAGGTAACTGCCACAAATGACAGATCAAGCAACTTTCTTCTTACAAGTGAGGCAAATGTTTGACATAAGGCTGGACTGCATTCAGACCTATCATTCCCTGTGGCATATTCTTCTCCTTTTAACAAATAATACTGCAAGCATTTTGCACTGACCATATTTTTTTTTTCCTCTCTCTCTGAGTAGTCATGCAAGCCTAACATTTTTTGTGAATGATTACTTATTTCCTATTTGAAGCACAAAAGCTCATCACTTATAGAATAGGTCAAGCTTTCAGTACCTATTAGTCCCAGTCTGGAGTGAATTAATGCATTTTCCTATGTTCGTTTTCCTTTTCTGTTTTAGGAACAGCATATGGGACATTTGTGCAAAGGAAGGAAGCAAAAATCCTGCATTGTTTTCAGGTGGAGTAGTAAACAACAACAAAAAAGTACACTTTATAATTCTATTTTTGTTTTTTGTACTAGACTCACTGTGACTATATCACTGTTGAGTTTGCAATTAGAAGTACCAGTTTTCCCAACTCAGAACAATAAATGGGGGGAAAAAATGACAAGTAGCCCAGTTTAATTTCAAACGTTAATATATTTTCTATTTTATAGTGAACATATGCATCGTTCACCCCTTATTTGCAGCAACTATGACGTCCTCATAAAAAGGGGTGACATTTGTAAGATGCCTCTTAAAATAAATATTTCTTTTTATAAAATAATAAAACTTCAAATAAATATTCTTTACACTAAACAATATGTTGAAAAAATTAGAAAATAAAGGCTGAATTTTACTGTAACTGTACAATATACATGAAGTCCAAAGGGAAATCAGAGTCTTGTAATAGAAGGTTTCCGTAAGACAAAATACAATCTAAAAACATACTGATTGATTCACATTCTTCTGAATGTACAACATATTAGTATAATATTTTGTGACTGTGCCATGTCTTATGACACCACTTATTTTTCACAGTTGAAAATATTATTGTATATACAAAAATATAGCACATTATCTCTGGCAGAAAACAATGAAAAAAAGGAGTCATTTGCTAATTTACAAATTTTGCAAGTACTATTCACAAACAATAGAGTTGCCTAGGAGTGTCTGTGTTGCTTTAGCTTATGCAATATGTGGGTCACAATGTACTGCATCCCTTTTTTTTCTTTCTTTTTTTTTTTTTCTGTATGCCACTAGCTGGAATCTAACAAGCATATCAGTTAAGATGGCACACACAGAGAAAAGCATTTCACTGCAAACAGCAGAGGAGATCCCCAACCCTTCTACTACAGTGCCAAGACCATAGCTGCTTAGTTGGTTGCATATGTACGTTAAAATAATCCTTGTCACTTTAGTATTTCTGACTAGTGATGCTATGTTGGCTTTTCAAAGTTCCTGGGGGGGACGCTGGGAACTTTGCAGCAAACGGTGTTGGAGTGTTTACAGCGGCACCCAGGCCGATTTACCCGGTCGTAACAGCCCTGGCACAACTTAAGGCAACCCTTGGCTGGTAGGTAACACCACAAGCAAGGCAGAAAGAGGGACACCACACCCATGGCGGACCACCTAGTGCAGCAATGCGACTGACTGCAGGAGCAGGGGTTGTCAGCACAGTTGTCCTCGTCATCGTTAGAGCAGTGATAGAAGAGGCCCTTCACGCAGCAAACGCAAGTCCCGTAATCGACCACGTTCTGGGCTGAGCAAAGACACTGCTTGTCACAGATCCAACACGATGGGAGGGTCCTCGGATAAGTGCACTCCTTACACTTACACTTCCCGCAGTCCTCACACCTGTAGCTGTGTGCTCCCAAGTCTTCTTTGCTCAGCGGCTTCAGCTCACTTGACTTGAGCTCGGACTTGGGCTGCATCCGGACTATCCCGTCGGCAGCCGGCCCTGAAGATGACCCTAGAAGCCTTTGTTCGGATGAATTACTGCTTGTACTTGTCCTTGTACTGCTCCGCGAACCTGTGCTGACCGTGCTGATGGATCGGGACAGAGGCGCCCGAGGAGAGGCGTGCATTTGCGTGTGCTGAATCCGGCTAAAATGACGATGGTCAGGCAAGCCATGGGGCCTCTCATTTTTGGGTTGGGATGCTAGCCGAGGAGCGGACTTGACCCCCGGCCGTGGAGCCACCGTAGGTCCCTCCGTGTACTCATTCGTGTTTCGGATGGCTCTGATCTGGTCCAACGACAAGACGTGAACCTGCTGCATCAGGACATCCCGCAGGTCGGGCTCCCCGTGCGGTCTCCCACTGTCACGCCGAGCCTGTAGCAAGGCCTGCGACCCGCTGCCGTGCTGAGCTCTCGTCTCCATCAGTGCCCGGAAGCGTGCTCACCCCGGCAGGCTTAGAACACATCTGAAATCCTGGAGCAACAAAGAGAGGATTCACTATTGCGACACATCTCATGCTCTCTCCAGCAGCCTTTCAGGCCTGCAGGATCCCACAGCACCGCACACAATCAAGTAATGCATCAGCCATTAAAAAAAAAAAAAAAAAAAAAAAAGGGAGGGAGTCACATCTGGGGTGGAGCGTGGGCACTGGTCAGCTGAATGCACTTGCCTGCCCTGACTACTCCTGTGGAGAGCTTAAAGCGATTCTGTTCTAGGTCCACTCATCTTAACTTGTGGCTCTAGAAAGCCTAGGTATTGCGCCTGCTAACTAAGGCTTCCCAGGCCATCTTCTGGTTAGACCATGGCCTTTATAGTGATTACATTGCAGCCACTTGGAGTGACTCTTCTTTTCACATCAGGCTGCTGAAAAACTTATATTAAAAAAAAAAAAAAAAAAAAGCCTCCAAGTATTTAGCAAGTGTAATGTGACCTGCTGATGACAGACATATAATTCTCCAATTTTGTTTAAAACTGGATAATATTTTGGTAGGCTAGTCTCTTTACACATTAAACTTTACATGATGTAAATAGGAAATTTTAGTTTAATACCAATGGTCCCAAGAAAAACACTAAATAGCAATAAAATGTTTGAGGTTAGACATTAAACGAGTTAGTGCTACCAAGAACTTCAACAGCACAAGTAAAAATATCTCTCTCCAGTATTTTAGTGTGTGTCATACTTGTGTACACCACTGCGATTGTTATTTTAAGGCTCAATACTACAAAAGCAACGCTACCACAGTTTTATTTTTTTAAAACGTGTAAAAAATTCCATAGACTATGTTTCAAACTGTAAATATTACCAAGAGTGGCTTGTGGGACAGAGGCATGCATAATATCAAACAATGCCAGCATCTAAGAATTCTACTTGATTGCAAATATTACTCTAAAGGATCATTAACTACAAAGGAGAAACCAAGACTTAAGAATTTAAATGGAAACTCAGCAAAAGACCCAGATGAGAACTTGTAAATAACTAACTTCCACACTCAGATATGCAAAAGTTTCAAGTACTGTCCTCTAAATTAGTTAATATTTGTTTTGCCTTTATCATATCTTAAAGTGGTTCCAAAATCCAATTATCTATACAAAAATCCAGAACAATATTTTACAATTAGAACGCAAGCAGGAACCAAGCTCTTACAGGGACCACACAATGTCTTCAATTATACCTAGAAAGAGCACCATAGTGTTACTCTGTACACATCAGTTACCAACAATAATACTATAATGCAGTATAATAAAATATAGCTAAACAGTTTAACAATGAATACCTCAAGACACTGTCTTTACTCTAACAGCAGTGGAAAATATTTAACCTTTTAACTCCTGGCTCCCTCCCCTCAAGCGCTTTTTTTAAAAAACAAAACAAACAAAACCTAAATAAATTTAACTTCTAAAAGTGACCACCTATTTTAGATATTGACAAATCGTAGCTTTGGACGCAGTGTATGTCATGGTATTTCGCCCCCCCCACCCCAAAAAAAAAAAAAAAAAAAAAAAAAGTCTTGCAAACTTAGCTTGAAGCATTGCTTACTTCTTCCTCAAGTTAAAACCTTTGCCATATAAAAAGATTGAACCAACAGCCTAAGTAGATATTTCCTCATCTGAAACCGTCTGGAGAGAAAAAGGAAGAGAAAATAAAATACCTTCCCTACCCTTGAGAGGAACTAGTAGCCCTATCTGCCCTCCACGTCCAGCTTTTGGCCAGACCCAGCCAGCCGAGAAGATCCGCCGACTCAACCCCCTGCCTCTCCAGCAATGACAACCCGGCGCAAAGGCAAAGCTGACCCTGACCTGCAGGCGCTGCAGACGACACCGGACTCGGTGTGGCGGAGCCCCCACACCCCCCCCACACCCCCCCACCCCTCAGACACCGAGGCGGGAGCTGGAGGAGAAGCCTCCGCGCTTTGCCCCCTTCCCCTCGGCCGGCTCCATCCCGGCGCGGACCGGGAGCGCAGCAGGTGGGAGGCGGCAGCCCCCGGCCCGCAGCCCCGCAAGTGCAGACAACCTGGAGATAACCAGGAGACATCCTCTGGGCTGGGAGTTGGGTGGGAGGGGGCTGCTGCAGCCGCCTTATCAGGAAAGTCAAACCCATGTTTCCTTTTCAACTCTCCCCCTTCCCCCCCCCCCGCCCTCCCCCAAGAGATGCTCAAGGAGCCTTCCCCTCCCGGGTAGTGCAAGGCGCCCTGCAGACGGTTTGAGACAACACCTCCGGGACAGCTGGGCAAAAGGCAGATTACCCCCCTCTCGCCTTGCCATAAGCACCCATTCAGCTGCACAAAGCCAGCCGCTGGAAAAGCTCCCTCTTATTTTACGCATATTCTGCAAATTGCCTCAACTTCAGTCCCGTCCCCCTCCGCCCCAGCCCGAAGGGACCCAGAAGGCATTTTCAGCGGGACATCAGTCCCAGCCGGGCGATCCACCTTTTTTTCCTCCCCTCGATAGATCCGCTAACAGGACAAGATGCACACCTCCAGCACATTTATTTGCAAACATGCATTTGCCTGAAAACTCTTATGGGAAAGCATGTCTCTCCCCCCTCTGATCTAGCACTTCTCCCCTTTCCATCCACCAAGAGCAGAGAAACAGCATTTGCCTTTCTGTGTGTGCATGTGAGAGATAACACGATTCCCCACTTCCAAAAGCCAAAGTCCACTCTCACAGAGCTCAAGTGCTATGATTGCTAATTTTTCCTAGCAGGGATTGGCAAAAGGGCGAGCAAGGGGGCCGGGTTTCGCGTTCGGCACATTTGGGGAAGTTTAAAACGCAAGGGTCTTCTTGCGTGCCGTGGAAAAACCCCGTGTCTCGCTGGCTGGGAGAAGGCGAGCCTAAGGGGGAGAAGTCCTCTGCCCATGAATTTCTGTTTTGTGCCCGGAGCCTGTGCAAGGCACCCCCACCCCCATCCCCACCGCACACACACCAACCACCTCCTCTTCTTTCAAAGTGCTTTGAAACCCCCATTAAGGGCCGAGTGTGTGATCAGACTATGGATTAGGGCAAAAGGGACTTTACCATCGGGGTGGGGCAAACTGACACACAAATAGCTCGCTGAAAACACCAGCAGGTTTTTTTTTTTCTTTTTTGGGGGAGGGAGGGGGGGGGATTGTTACAAGTAAACCCATCACAGGAAAAAAAAAAAAAAAGTAAAAGCAGAAATTATGGCTTTCCTTCTCCTCTACACATGCCGTCTGCATAGAAGAACCTGGAGAGGAGCTTTCCTCGTCTTATGGATCGAATTAATTTCATCACACGCGAAATACATATGTGCATACACACATATATTTGTACCAGACGTGCACTCACTTCCGAATTGTACGGATCTCCCGACGCCACTACAGACGGGAGTAAATCACGCACTGAAAGGCGGGCTGCTCGCTCTCCCCCCAAAGACGGGGGGGGCAAACAGCCCCGGCGCTCGCCAACCCCGCAGCGCCCTCCCTTCACCTCCCCCCGGGGGCTTGTCGGAAACCCACGCGTGCCCGGCGAGGCAGCAGCGCGCAGGACCGCCCGTGCCCGGCTCCCCGCAGCAGGGAAGAACACGCCGAAGTGTGTGTGTGTGTGTGTGTGTGTGTATGTGTGTGCGTGCGTGGGTCCCGCTCGCAGCCCCCGCAGGCATGCCTGCGCGCCCGCGCAGCCCTCTCCCCCCCCCCCGCGCAGCCCCCCCCCCCCCCCCCCGCGCAGCCCCCCCCCCCCCCCCCCCCCCCCAGGCACCCCGGCGGGGCGCAAACGCGGCGCAGCCCGCAAACCCCAGCGGAGCTTCCCCCACCCCCGGCGAGAAACCGCTCCGAAATCCCACCTCCGGCTCCTCTCTGGGAAAGGAAGGAGAGGGGAAGGGGGGAGAGGGAGAACCTGTACGAATGGAAAAAGGATCGGCCTCAAACATTTCCACGAGTTTTCTTGGAGCAACCAAGGCGGGGGGGGGGGGGGGGGGGGGGGCGGCGGTTACTGAAAAGCTTGTTTTGCAAAGAAGGAAAAGGCTCTCACCGTGATCGCGGCGCTGCACCAAACCCCTCTCTCTCTTGTATTTTCTTCTTCCTGCGGTTTGCAAATAAATCCAGCCCTAAAGCAAAAAAAAATTCTTTTCCAAACTCTGCTTTAGTCCAACTTGCAAATTAGAGTAAGAATGATCACCATGTAAAAAAAGTCCAGAACAAAGTTAGGTCCCTCTCCCCAGATCGATTATAAATACGTGTGTGCGTGTATATACTAGAATAATAATAATAAAAACACCTCTCCGGATCGGGGTGGGTTTTCTTTACTCCTGAAAAGAAATCACTCAGTCTCTCACACACACACTTTCCTTTTTTTTCCTCAATGAACAGGAGGCCGAATCGCCAATACCAAGTCACTTTTTTTGTTGTTGTTGCAAATGATCAAGAGGAAGGGGAAAGCCAAAGAAAACAAAATAAAGTGGATCTAAAATAAAATCCCAGAGCTTTCTTCCACTGAGCTCCTCCAAAAAAGCAGCTTGTGCAGTGTAGCCGTTCTGCTGAGAAGCTGCTTGCTGCAAGCTCCTCTCCCCTCTCTCCCTCCAGCTTTCTCGCTCCCTCTGCGAGCGTGTGTGTGTTGCAGGCAGCTCTGTGGTTTGCAATCGAGGGGGGGGGGGGGGGCTGTTTTGGGAGCGCAGCGGATTTGTGGTGGTGGTTGTTGTTGTGTGTTTGGAGGAGGTGGACGAGGAGGAGGAGGAGGATTTGAGATCTGAGCTGTAGGGGCTCGGCGTTTTTCTGCTCGCTCGCTCTCTCCCTCTCTCTCTCTCTCTTTTTCTTTCCGGAGGAGGTAGGGTGATCTCTCTGCAAAAGCAGCAGTAAATGGCGTCATGTGGATCTGAGGAGGAACAGAGCAGTTGTTGTCCCAGAGGATATATCGCATCCGGTCCCAGCTCATTGGCTCTGCGGGGCTACATTCACTGCCGCTCCCAGCGCCCTGCCAGCGCTCCGAGCTGCGGGAGGCATTCAAAAGGGCAGCGCCGCCGTCACCGCCGGCCCCGGCCGCCCCGGGCCCGGCCGCGGCCCCGCTCCCGCTCCCGGGGCCTCGCTGCAGCCGGTTTTCACAGGGGGCTCCTCCGTGCGCGGTCGCACCGCGCTTCGGGGGTGGGTGTGGGTGTGTGTGTGTGTGTGTGTGTGTGTGTGTGTGTGTGTGCTTTTGTGCTCGTGTATTTAATCAGAGGCGGGCAGCGAGAGCTCGGCCGGAGAGCCGAGGGCGGCTCGCCTCTCGCGGGGGGGAACGCACGCTCTCCCCGCCGCGGCGGGCTTTCGGGAGGCCCCTTTCCAGGTGCTTACCCCCACTCACCCCCCTGGTGTTTTCTTTAACCGAGTGGAATAAAAGTTTACACTTTCTGCCCCCCCACCCCCCCCCACCCCTCCCCGACCTTTTCAGCAATCGGTCCCCGGCCGCGCAGGGAGAGGGAAGGGTGATTACTTGGGGCATTGTCCCGCGGATTAACACGATTAGGCGGGTGGGGGGGGGGGGGGGGGGGGGGAAGCGGGGGCCGTGGGAGGGGGAAGCGGAGAGCAGGGCCCGCGGGGCGCGGAGCAGCGGGGCGGGGGGGGGAGCGGGCGGCGGGACAGGCCGCTGACAGCGTGCCGCGGTGCTTTCCGCGCCTCGGGCGGCTGCGGGGCTGCCGGCGGCCCCGGCCGAGCAGCGGGGTCTCCTCGCCTGTGCGCAGGGGTGGGGGTTTTTAGGGGGGAAAAAAAAAACAAAAAAAAAAAAACAAAACACCCAAACTTTTAAAAAATTAATTCCCATTCGTGCGGGGGACACGGTCTGAGAGCAGCTCACAAACGTGACTGTTTGTCGTCTGGGCGTTTCCTGACACGGCCACAGCTCGGTCCCTTTTGTACGACGGAGACACTGTCGCGGGGCCCGGGCATCTCGCTCCTACATGTATCTTTAAGCGCGCAAAGCAGCGTATCCACGTAGGCATGCACCGTGCACGACTATACCCGTATCACGTGTAGCACCGCTTAAAATATACACGATGTGTGGGGCAGCAACGCATTGCATTATTTACATGAACAATCCTCGGTGCAAAAACCCCACCGGCTCTTCTTACTACTTGAGGCAACTTTGCGGGCGCTTCCTCTTCTACACCTGCTAATCACCGCTTTTTGAACGGGGTGGTCATTCTCAGTAAAAACATGGAAATGAAAAGGGCAGTGTCTGACACGGACGGCCCTCAGGTTTTCGTATTTTTACATGCCCATACCTATTCTTCCACGGTAACGTTCTGAACCCGCAAATTGTGTCCCACAGTCGCTCGGCGGTAAGGTTAGCCCGAGTTACACGGGGCTTAACATCTTTCCTTTCACGTCTCCACCAGCCCCTACCCTGCACACAATCGCCGCCGCCTTGCCGGGGACGGTGCTCGGGGCCCCGGCGCCCGTCCCGTCCCGTCCCGTCCCGTCACGCAGCAGCCAGAGCGAAATGCCCGTCGCGGGGCTGGGGGGGGGACACATGTCAGCCCCGCTGCGGGAGCCGCAGCCCCCCGGGGCCGGGTTTCATTCAGGGCTGCCGGTGAATGGAGGCGGCGGCGCGGCCGCTCTCCCCGCCAGAGGGAGCGCGGCGGCGGCTCCGCGGGGGCGGTGGCTCCGCGGGGGCGGCGGCTCCGCGGGGGCGACGGCCCCCCGGGCAGGGCCCTCCGCCGTCGGGGGAAAGGCGGGAGGAAGGCCACGGGCCTTCCCCAGGGCTTCCCCCACGGGAGGGGGCGGGGGCGGGACGCGCCCGTGGGTGCCCGGAGGGCCCACTTGGGCATCCTCAGGGGCGCAGGCTGCGGGACGCGGAGTCGGCAAGGAAGTCGGCGGGATTCAGCGGTGAGAGACGAGCATCTGTTACAGTAGCTGGGAAGGAGACGCGGTCTTAATTTCACATCACTTCACGGTGGAAGGAGAAAAATCACTTCCTCCCACGTAGCAAAGTCAAAAATAGGTGAAGGACACTTTGTGCAAGCCTATACACACGGGAAAGGTCTGTTAGATTATTCATCAGTGTTTACACTGAGCACATAAATAGTATTTAAACTGGAAAGTTCATAATACCATTTTTAAATCTGTTGGTCAGTAGTGCATCGGCAATTTATATGCCAGTTCTTAAGTGCAGGTGTATACACCACAAGTGGTCCCGAAGACAGATATGAAAACAGTGAATCTATTCTTATTCACAGAGCCAGTCAGGTGTGAAGTGTCAGTGTCTTACAGAAGAAAAAAAAAAAAAAAAAACAAAAAAAACACCAAAAAAACAACACTCAAACCAAAACAAACTAAAGAAAAAACAAACCCCAAGCATACAGCATCCTAGTACTGCTGAATTTGCAAGAGAAGCACCAAACCTGCAAAGATTTATGCACTAACTTATACTTTCACACAGGTAATCAATAGATAGTGTGCAAATATGCAAAATGAAGAGTGATCTTTTTGTTGTTGTTTTCTGGAACCTCGAAACTGAATTCTCGGGCCTTTAATTTGATGATACCTTGGAACCATCTTTTGCAGGATTACATGTATCATTAACATTTCTCATTTCTTGTCAGGGACAGGGGCTTAATGCATGTGACTATGTTTCCCCTAGTGGTTTGCTCTATCCACTGCATCATTTTTTTGCTTTTAATCCAAGCAGACCTTGTTTTTGGAGATGAAGGTCTTTAATTAGTTAATTCTCAGCAGAGGAATGTAGCTGCTATATAAATATATTGGCATACATATATATATTTATATACATGTAGGTGTGTGTGTGTGTGTGTGTGTGATATATTAGAATAGTAGCAATTCCGGTAGCAATTCCAGTGGGCAGAGTGAGGTCTGTGACATGTGACAGAAATAGCTGAAATACGTACCTGAAATAGCTGAAACTTTTCTGTATCACCCTGAAGTTGTCCCACAACATTTCACTTGATTTGATTGTCAAACCCAGGACCTGAAAATAAATAGTGTTTTCCCCTTTTTGTAAAAGGCAATGAAGTTTATTCATAACAAATTGCTTCTTGCAAGGGAATTAAAGTGCGGTAAATTTGCTGACTTTCTGAACAAATTGTGCATTATCTCCTGAGTTAATGCAGTGATAGGAAGATATTGATTCTGCACATCCTGAAAGGACTAAGTTGGCTGCACACTGCTTCTAATGCCCAGTATTTCGTTAGAAACGTACACCTTTAATTGTTTGTCTTTCATGTTTGTAACTCTGAAAAAGGTAATGTGCATAAAAGATTTATAGGATTTTTTTAAAAGTGATTAGTTGTAAAACGTTTTGCCCACTGATATTTCATTGAGATTCTCAGTGCAGATAAGGACACTTAAATATATCAGAGAGAGAAACAGAGAAGTCAAATTCACTGTACTGTAAACAGTTGGATATTTTTTTATGAAGCAAATTAGGTCCCTGACTCAGTACCATTGGTTTTGCTTCTGTAATTTTCTTTGTAGGTTATCTGAAGGAAGTCCCAGAATTCCTTAAGAGGGGAAAATGAGCAAAGGCTACTGGCACCTGCTTTGGTGGGACAAGGAACAGGACTGTTAAAGGTGAAAAATAGAATAAATACCTGCTGCTCTGACTGGGTGTACACATGCTCTGATGCTGCTGGGATTTGGTCTCCTGCTTTTAGTGACGCCTAGATCTTCTGGGATTAAACTACTGTTATTCATATCTAGCTAAGGATCACCACCTTCCTTAAAGGTGATATAGGCTACATCCTATGTAACTTTATGACATGTGATGATTGCCCCAGTATATGGGGGGACAGTTTCCAGGAGAACATTTTCTTGTTGAATGCCAAATATACTTATGTAAACTTAAAAAAATAAACAAATCCCTTTCCTGATCCTTCTGAAATTATACTGAAGAATACATACATTTAGTACTTGTAATATAATGTGGAGCTTTTGCATAGAAATTGTTCTAATGAAGCTAGTATGTTCTTTGATGTGCCATTCAATGTTATTTGGTTATATTTGTGTCCTTGATAAAATCAGCATTGTTTTTTTTTTTGGAATTCAACTTTATAAGCCTTTCCATCTTATACAATGCATTTTACAATTAGTTCTCTCTTCTCAAATACCTTGAGACCAAATGTTCAAAAGTGGGACAATTTGGCATGGACAGGACTAAGTGCAGTTTATTTGCTAAACTAGTGTCATAGCTGACTTTTTAAGGTGTATTTGTTTGTCCTAGTATTTTCTTCCTAATATTTTTGACTGCTTTGATAGAAGTAATCATGAGGATGACAGCACAGACAGGCCACATCTATCAGCATTTAAAATGCTGCACTCTCTAGCCTCATTCAATTAGAGGCTAGATAACACTGCGATTTACTATACTAGAATTTTGTGCACAATTAACTGATTGCCTTTTAAAATGTTAGTAAGTGATTGCTAGTTTGGAAGTTCCCAAAATATTTTGTAGCAGGATGCAGACGTTTGTGTGTTGACCTGGGATTAAAGTGACTCAGGAGAAATGGAAGACACTAATGTTAGCAGTTACGGGAAATTTGGGAACAAGAAGGTTTTATGAAGAGGCTTATCACATCTCTGCTGTGGTTTGCAGCAGTAGTTCTCAGACTTCTTCAGTCTGTACACTTGTTCTGTGCTTTAGGGGAGAAAACAAAAAATCATAAGGAAGTGCAGACCTTTTCAGAAAATTATAGAAGACCTCCTCTTTAGAAATAGTACATAGGAATCCACAGATCACAGTTAGAAAGCCACTGATGTGTAGATACCCAAACTAGCTCTAAACTGCAATGTAGTGGAAAGGCAAATTAGTATCTTGTTTACTGTAAGCAATGTAGCTGGAAGATCGAGGATGCCTGCTCGTCTCAGAAGTGCAAGGTAGCCTGCATGGACCTCCATGCTGTGATGGCTACTCCGCTCCCAGAATGTAAGGTACCCTTTTTCACTGGAGGCTGGAGTTCAGACAAGTACCTCTGGGAGATCAGCAACTGGTAGCATATGGCTTGCTAGCCAGCCAAGGGATATGTACAAGCAAGACTTACAGATTTTGCTGCAAACCAAAGCAAGCAGATTGAGCAATTGTTAAAAATTGTATCATCTTTCTCTCAAGTGCTGAGATTATTTTTATTTTCCTCAGTTGTGAAAGGCTTGTATTCATCCGAGTAGCATATAAGCACATCCTGAAAACAGGGGTGACACGTGCAGAAGAGAATTGTTTCTAAGAGATGAATGAATTTTGCATGAAAAGGAAAATAAAAAATGGTGTTTCCCCATCATTTGTCTGAAAATCAGAACACAACAAAAAATACTCTGTGGTTGCGTCAATCAAAAAAAATTGCGAAAGACCCCGATCCTGCAGTCAGATCTGCATAGGACT